CAGATGAAGGTCTTTCAACCCTCATGCCAAAAAGCATTTGAACGTCTTGAACTGGCTCGGGCGCAGACTCCTGGATCCGTGGCGAGCGATCCCAAACTCCTTGCCAAGTATATGACCACCATGTTGCTTGCCCCGTGACGGCCGCTGGATGCGGTTTCTTTCGGTCATACCACCCAGGTCCTTCGCGGGTTGCGCGCGCGGGTATGCCACGTATACTAGTGCACCTACCCGCCCTCCCCAGCGGTGTCGCCATGTATGCCCGAGGACCTCAAGAAGCATTAGCGAATGTAGCTACCTGGAGTGCGTTTACGCCGAGACAGCGTCGCCGCGTTGCAGCTGACCCGCCCCTCAGCCTATCTCTCTTATTGTACGTTTCGTAATAAACCTCATACATATATGATTAATTGGCTCTATCATGGCTCGACCTTCTCCGCGAGATGAAGGCTCTGATACATTCCTGATACTGATCAGTGTTTACTCTATTGTGATCTCTGTACTTCATTTGGTCGACTAAACCCACGCAAGTGAGTTCTGAGCCTCATTTCCCAGGGAATTTATGCTGACTCAACATCATGATTAGGCAGCAAGTCTGACGCTCTTGGGAAGAATGTATGTATGTCAGCTGCGCTGAGAGTTGCAAGCACCTCCCGTCCAGTCTGAGAGCTTGGTTTCCTGCGCAGCCCAAGTCACCGATGAAGCTCTTCACGCCGATCAAGGTTGGAGATGTCACTTTACAACACCGGGTTGTAATGGCTCCATTGACTCGCGAACGAGCCGATGAGCACCATGTACCCACGCCTATGATGGCAGAGTACTATGCGCAACGGGCGAGCTCTCCGGGTACAATGCTTATCAGCGAGGCAACACTTGTTGCACCGCAGGCAGGGGGACGGTCTCATGTTCCCGGTCTCTGGTGCGAAGAACAAGTCGCCGGGTGGCAGCGAGTACGTACATTCCAGTACATCATACGTATTGTCGTCCGAGTCGTTCACAATGACATCCAGGTCACTAGTACAGTCCACGCTCAGGGTTCATACATCTACGCACAGCTATGGGCCATGGGCCGAGCGGCTATACCCGAGATACTGCAATCCGAAGGACGTTATCCATACGTCTCTGCATCCGATGTCCTTCTGCAGGGCAAGCCGTTTCCTCCCCGCCCATTGACTATAGAAGGTGAAACACCTCAGAGGATTTCTCCTTGTGCCCCGCTGATCCCCAGTCTAGAAATCAAGGAGTATGTGGAATGGTTCGCCATCGCAGCGAAGAATGCTCTACGCGCTGGATTCGACGGCGTAGAATTCCACGCTGCGAACGGATATCTCATAGATCAATTCATCCAGGATACATCAAATCGACGTACTGACGAATACGGTGGTTCGATAGAAAACCGTTGTCGATTTGCATTGGAGATTATTGATGCTGTCGCTCAAGCTATTGGAGAGGCTAGGACTGGCATTCGAGTGAGTCCATGGGGAGCTTTTAGCGGTAAGTTCCACGTCTCTGCCTGCTTTGGAATACAATCACTTTTCATCGCTCAATTACTGTCATGCTAGGCATGAGGATGGCTGATCCCAAGCCAACCTTTAGCTACTTAGTCTCTGAAATTGCTAGGCGCTATCCGAAGTTTGCGTTCATTCATGTAGTCGAGCCACGGGTTGAAGGTAACATTGACCGAAGAGTCCTGGAAGGGGAAGTTCGTGGATCTCAAATATTTTAGGTGCAGCCATGCTAAAAACTGTCCTAGTCAAATGACTTTCTACGAGAAGTATGGAAGCACCGACCGTTGATCAGCGCTGGCGCATATACCCGCGAGCTGGCGATAGAGGCTGCGGAGGATAGAGGAGACCTTGTCGCCTTCGGAAGACTCTTCATCTCGAACGTATGTCGTAACATTTATTATCGTATGCGTTGTTTGACTATCCTGTTCCATACTATGGCCTCTTGTTCTTTAGCCAGACCTAGTCCACCGCCTCCGGGATAATTTGTCCACACAGAAGGGCGATCGCGCGACATATTACACGTCCGAAGACCCTATCGGGTACATCGACTATCCCTTTGTAGATGGTGCAGTGCGCCCAGCTCGCTTCCAAGCAGACTCTCAATCGCTGGGAGACGTTTAATGGCCGAAGACATGTGTCACGGACCAGAGAGAGTCCCGGCGGTGGGATACGTTGGGTGATGCATTGTTTATGGAACGGAGGAGTAGCGTGGTCTCTAGACACGAACCAAACCTAGTCATCAGTACGCACATTAATGACGTAGCGTCTACCCCTCTGACCGTTGACTATGCCAAGCGTATACTACCTCTACCCACGCTCGCTCCAAATATCATGCTTATATGCGAACATTTAGCTGCCATGGAGATATTAGAGCACAAGTTATTGACAACCGCCAGCTAGCACGTACGCTCGAGTGACAGGATGGCACACAATTTCAGGGCAAGCGATTCAGGACTACAAGCACACTGAGTAAAAAAGTAGCGGTTCAAGATGAAATCACGATCGACTGCTGACAGAAACCTCCGAGTCCACGCGCTCTCTGAGCAACCCGACCCATTACCGACTCCCACGTCAGCCACTGGCAGGCCGCGGCCGAGGATCCGAACAGGTATAGAAATCAGAATATTGCAACGTAACATATGTAAGCGAGTCTTCTTCCCATAGTACTCATGCCATTACTAACACGAGAGCTCTGCTTCTAGGCTACAAACGACACGGCTGCATTAAGTTGTAAACAGTATATAATCCTATGGACATTGCTAAGCATTCTACATCCCACGACCTCCGTTGTTGCCGCGAGTTTACTATGGCACGCCTATTCACGCCAGTGAAAGTCGGGGATGTCACTTTACAACATCGCATCGCGATGGCTCCGCTGACTCGTTTCAGAGCCGATGCCGACCATGTACCGTCGCCCCTTGCGGCTGAGTACTATGCGCAGCGTGCGAGCGCACCCGGTACGATGCTCATCAGCGAGGCGGCATTTATCGCTCCGCAAGCGGGTGGGTATCTTCATGTACCTGGAATCTGGAGCGATACTCAAATCGCCGCGTGGAAGCGCGTATGTCATGCATAGTCTCCGCGGCGAGTTTTATTGCTGATCGTCCCACTTGCATCATATAGGTGACCGAAGCAGTTCATGCGCAAAGGTCCTATATTTACCTGCAATTGTGGGCAATAGGACGAGCAGCAAAGCCGGAAGTCCTTGAAGCGGAGGGAAATTACCCATACATCTCTGCATCGGGGATCCCGTTGAAAGGCACACGGTCGATCCCTCCCCGCGCCTTGTCAATCGAAGGTGAGCCCCCACTCAGAGCGATATTACAATGAATTATTGATGATCTCCGCAGAGGTCAGAGAATATGTGCAATTATACGCAACGGCGGCAAAGAATGCCGTCCGCGCAGGTTTCGATGGTGTTGAGATCCACGGTGCCAATGGATACCTCATCGATCAGTTTTCTCAAGACGTGTCCAATGAGCGAGTCGATGAATATGGTGGCTCTGTCGCAAATCGATGCAGGTTTGCGCTGGAGGTAGTGACAGCGGTATGCGAAGCTATTGGAGAGACAAAGACTGGCCTTCGGTTGAGTCCGTGGGGAGCATTCAACGGTACGCTGAGCGGAGTCATTGCCATATTTTACTTAATGGCAACAAATGCTACCAGATATGAAAATGTCCGACCCGAGACCAACGTTCAGCTTCATTGCCTCGGAGATCGCTAAGCGGCACCCCAACTTTGCGTTTCTTCATGTCGTCGAGCCTCGGGTTGAAGGAGCTGACGACCGTGTGGTACTGGAAGACGAGGTTTGTTGTTTCAATAATATCAAGTTTGGTTCGACGTCGTGCTAAATCCATGCAAAATTCCAGTCCAATGACTTTCTTCGAGAAATTTGGAGCCCTCGACCGTTCATCAGCGCTGGTGCATATTTGCGCGATTCCGCCCTTCAAGTTTCAGAGAGCAAAGGAGATATCATTGCATTTGGGAGGCTTTTTATTTCTAACGTGAGCTCTACATCAATTACGAATTATGCAATCATATGCTGATGACACTCGTCTTTCTGGCAGCCCGATATTGTCCATCGCCTTCAGAACGATCTACCATTGGTCAAGGGCAATCGGCAAACGTACTACAGGACCGAAGGAAACCCTGACTCCGTTGGATACATTGACTACCCATTTGCCGATGGCACCGTGCGTCCAGCTCGGTTCAAGGTGTACTCTGAGCCAAAACCCAGGCTTTAGCGCGCCTCGTTGTAGCCGTTAGACTGTGTATAAATCAGACTCCCTACCGTACCAGGTTCCAGACGTTTGACTTGAACCCTTCCATCGGCCCGGAGGTGCTGCGGCCTGCAGGGTGTCTGATGCTGAAGCTGTGCTTAAAGTGGTCTGTGGTAATATTCGACATGCTAGCAATGACTGGCATGCACTCGACTTTGAGGGCCTGGTTGAGTGATCGGCTGAGGCCACCTGATCATGAATTCCGCGTCGAGCAGCTCGGGATACTAAAAGTCAGTAACGACTTAGCTTGGAATTATCCGAGGCCCGCGAACGCGTTGTTGAATTCCTTTGGGATGCTTGGAATACCCCCGCGTGCGCTGCGGTCTACCAGCAGCTGGCGGTATAATTCTTTTGTTCTTTGCCATGATGAATGTAACACGGTTTTTTTTTCGGTCATGCATAGGAAACCTCGTCTACTATCACATCTTGCACTTCGTTATTCGTGGGTACTCTTGGCGGAAACCTAAAAACCGAACTGGTTTGCACCAGGACGAGATCGACTCGGAGCAGGCCGCAGCGGGGGCCGACAACACTCTTTTCAAGGCTCGTGGGCGCGGCTGATCCCGCCGCGGGAGGCTCTTCCAGCTCGACCTCAACTACAGATGGAGCACTGTCGTGTTGGACGAGCGGTTCATGAGGAAAGCGCGACATGTTGTCCCCAGACTAGGAGAAGGGCATTGTAACATATTATGTGTCATCTAATGATATTCTAATAAATTCCGATATGGTGTAACGGCTAACATTACCGCCTTTCATGTGCTATGTGGTCGCGGTAGCTCGGGGTTCGATTCCCCGTATCGGAGGTTATTTTGTATTTTACGGCCACGACGTTTCACGAAGGACGAAGAATTCGCATCAATCTTGTTGATTGCGCTGCCCGCCTCGTGGGATTCCTTCATCTCACCTTTCGGAGACGATGCTCCGACCTCCGCCAAACTCGTCGGTCGTATCCTCCAGGAGGACAAACGCCGCCGCGACCGAGGCGACACTACCGAAGTCCTCGTCGCCAAACCCGCTGCCCCCGCCGGCCCGAAACGCTCGAAGTTTCGCAAGGGCGTCAACTGCCACAATTGCG